GAGGAGCTGAAACAGGAGATTTAGTGAAGTTTTTACAGGTAGAGACAGGAAGGGCTGTGGGAAAGACTGCCTGAAGGGAACATCATGAGGGAATATACCAACAAGTGTTGGTATGACATAACGAACAATGAGGAGGAGGTGAAGAAGCTCTTAAGGACCTTTGACACCTCTAAAGGCGATGGGGTGACGAGCAAACAATTCCCATGGGTCCTTAGAGAAGGAGCAGAGATGCTGTGTGTGCCTCTAACACAATCTTCAACAACATCCTTGTAACTGGGCAACTACCGAGAAATGTGAAGACAGCTATGTAGTCCACATATTTAAGAAAGCGAAACGAAACGAGGAACTAAACTTAAGACCTGTGTTCTGACATGTATTGTGTGCAAAGTCATGGAGAAGGATTATCAGGAGGAGAATTGGTCGAACACTGGGAAAGGAACCCAAGATTATAAATGAAAACCAGCATGGGTTCAGGAAGGCAAAATCTTGTATCACAAACCTCCGGAGTTTTATGACAAAGGTAACTGAAGTAAGACACGAGAGAGAGGGTTGGGTAGATTGCGTTTTTCCTAGACTGCAGGAAGGGCTTTTTCGACACAGTTCCCACAAGAGATTAGTGCAGAAGCTGGAGGACTCGGAACGTTAAAAGGACGGGCCTGCCCATTCACAGGGAATACCTGACAGGGAGGCAGCATACAAGTCATGTACGTGAAGAGGTATCACAGTGGGCGCTGTTACGAGAGGGGTTCCCATCAGGGCGTCAGTTCTAGGACCAGTGTTTTTTTGATTTATGGACGACATGATGGACAGGATAGACTCAGGAAGTGCCCTGTTCGCAGATGAACGTGAAGTTGATGCGAAGAATTAAATCGGACGAGGATGAGGCAGGACTGCAAAGAGGATGAGAGCGCTGGAATGTGGTCCCGTTAACTTGCTTCTCGAATTCAATCCAGCCAAAAAGCAAGTCAGAAGATTGGGAGAGGGGCAAAGAAGACCGCAGACAGAGTATTGGCTAGGTGGACAAAGACTTACAGACTCCTCATCAGGGAGAAAGACCTGGGGGTGTCCATAAAACACCGAGCACATCACGGAGGCACACATCAACAATAAACCGCTGCAGCATACGGGCGCCTGGGCAAACCTGAGCATAGCGTTCCGATCCTTAATAAGGAATCGTTCAAGACACTGTACACTGTGTATGTTAGGCCCATACTGGAGTATGCAGCCACCAGTCTGGAAAACCCACACCTGGTCAAGCCACGTCAGAAGTTAGAGAAAGTACAAGGTTTGCAACAGGCTAGTCCCAGAGCTCCAAGGGGAATGTGTACGAAGGACATGTTAAGGGAAATTAGGACTGACGACCACTGGAGACAAAAGGGTCAGGGAGACACGATAACGATACAAGATATGCGGGAATAGAAAGGTGGACTGAGATGGGATATCCAGAGAGGCAACACGGACAAGGGGTCACAATGGAAGCTGAAGACTCAGACGAGTCACAGGGGACGTTTGGAGTATTGCTTCAGTCTTATGAGTGTCAGCAAGTTGAATAGCTAGCAAGTGAAGTAGTGGAGGCAGGAACATACATAGTTTTAAGAAGAGGTATGACAATGCTCAGGGAAGCAGAGAAGAGAGAGAGGGACAGTAGCGATCAGTGAAGAGGCGGGGCGGAGCTGAGTCTCGACCCTGCAACCACAATTAGGTGAGTACCATTCGGTGTGTACCCCCACCACACACACACAGTAGTGTAATACTTTATTTAAAGATAGCAAAGTCAGGGTTATTTCTCAGAATGGTCTCGTAATATACATGTGGATAAATATTTGCCATTTCTTGAATTTCTGGTGAGTTGGTTTTAAATTCATTAATTTGATCACTCCAGTACTTTATGGCACAAGGTTGTGACAAGTATAGTCCATCTGGCAAGTTTACATCTTTCATCTTGGGTTCTACATCTGTGGTTGGTGTTTTAACTGCCATAATTACTTGTAACCAGCCGGAGACCGGGCGACTATGTGACATCAAGAGTCTGCTTATCATGTTGGCTGACCATAGACATGTGGCTCCTCGCTTGTGAATGATAGGATGGACCTGACTTGTGTCAATCTCCCTAAGTCTTAAGTCAAAAGTTCATTTGAAGTTCTTTTTTATTATTGTTCTCAAATTGCTTAACTGACAACCAAGATGGTACTCTTCCCCCTCTTTGGAAAGCATATGCTTAGCCAATTTATCAGTTCATCATGTATTGAGGACCAATGTGAGATGGAATCCACAGCCATGTGCACTCTGACTCACTGTCACAATCTACCATACCTTATGTCTGGCTTCTGGACACAAGCATGCCACAATTTTACTTAATGAGTCGAGAGCATTTATGCAGATCGTACAGAGGAATCAGATACAATAAAGTGTCACCCTTTAGATACATGGATACATTGAGTGCAAGGAGTATGGCAAACAGTTTTGTTTGAAGGGTTGGGCACAGTTATTGATGGTGCTCAATTTTCTTAGGAGAGCTTATCTGTATGACAACAGCAGCACTACAGCTGCACAGTGGATGGTGAACAAGAACCATCAAATGTAAATTTACTTGTGAAAGTGTTCTGTGTGGACTAAGTTATCAAGCAGCTCTTTAAGCATCGTGTTGGCTTCAAGACGAAGCTTGGTTGCGATTTAAGTAGAGTTTTGGGGGTAATGTAGGAATGTTAGTTTGGTATGGGGTAATATCCCATGGAGCAGGGAAGTGTCTCTGTTGACCTAAACTTGACCATAGATCATGTAGCTGGCTTCATGCGGAGGTCTGGTTCCAGTTTTTTACGAGTCCATCTGGACAGGATGTTCACCAGTGTTGAGGAAAGTTTGGAGGGCTTTCTGTGCAGGGGTTTGAATGGGCCAACCTAAGCTATTGTCCCCAATAAGGATATTCTTTCAGTAACACATCTCTAATGCTTGAGAATATTAAGTTCCTTTCTGCATATTTAAAATTTTGGCAGTACGAGGGCCATCCTAGGATGATCCTCATGCTTGTTTTGCAGTTTTCAGCCCTCCATGGCTTCCAGTATCAGACAGAGTGCAAGTAGTGGCACGCATATTCACCAATGATCTATTAAGCAAGAGTTACATCATTTCCCATAACCCAACGACCATTCCCTGGGATGAAAACCTGGCCACAACTCTAAGTGCTCGCAGCTTTCTTTGTATTGGCGACAAAGTCTCGTTACAACAGGTCAATAGTGGAACCTCAAAGCCTATATACCTGTATCTGATACTTTTTTCTAGAAGAGACCCGTCCATTGCATTGGATCTGTCGAACCTGTACCTCTTCTGCCCGAGGAGGGTGCCGTTGGAGAATCTTTTGTTTTATCCCCGAGATTATTAACCCAGGTCTTGACACGAAGGTAGTACTGATTAAGAATGTTTTGGGTGTTGGAGAATCCGGTGGTGTGAATCATTTTATCATCAGCAAAATTTTTTTTTTTTTATTATCACACTGGCCGATTCCCATCAAGGCAGGGTGGCCCAAAAAAGAAAAACTTTCACCATCATTCACTCCATCACTGTCTTGCCAGAAGGGTGCTTTACACTACAGTTTTTAAACTGCAACATTAACACCCCTCCTTCAGAGTGCAGGCACTGTACTTCCCATCTCCAGGACTCAAGTCCGGCCTGCCGGTTTCCCTGAACCCCTTCAAAACTAACCATATAATGATGGGGCTGGCTAGGTATAGCATTAAGTAAGGCATTAATCAGAATATTGAAAAGGGTGGGACTAAGCACACCTCCCTGTGGGGTTCCTAATTCAAAATCTTTAGTTACACTTCTATGTCCCTGGAACAACACAGACGACTTTCTGTTGGACAGGTAACCTTTAATCCAGCGGAGAAGCCATCCTTCAATATCCATTCTGGCAAGTTCATTAAAAAAAAAACGGGGGATTACATAGTCGGTTGGCTACATCAAAAGCGGATTTAATGTAAGGAGGTAGTGTCTGAGCTGTCGTGTGCAGAGGTGAGAAAGGTGGTAATGCAATGATGCACATCTTCCATGCATGATGCATGGCAACCGAGACAAGAATTGTTAATTTGTGCATAGTCGATTAGAGCAACATAAACATTTGTCTATAAAATACTGAGTGTACAGTTAACTAAACTTTAGTCTAATAATGACAATAAACAATGCAGTAAATTATAAAAGCTCACTTACCTGTCCCCTGTAAACCCCTTCCCATACCCCTTGGGTACTTATATTCCAATTTGATAACCCTTAGTCTAGATTAAGGAATAAGGTTTATAAAAAGGGATAATATAAGGAGCATAGAATATAAAGCATAAAAAAATAATGTATTAAATAGGGAACTTGCTGTAATTTTGTAAGATGTGAACTGAGTTAAGACATAAATTATGACTGGATGCATTAGAGATGAGAGCAAATGTAGTGTCACCCAATAATAAGATTACATAGTAGAGTAATTTTTTTCTTTTTCAACACGTCGGTTGTCTCCCACTGAGGCAGGGTGACCCAAAAAGAAAGAAAATCCCCAAAAAGAAAATACTTTATCATCATTCAAACTGAACTCATAAGGGCCATACAGCATTAGAGCCATACAGAAATCAGTATTTTTGCTATAAATTTGCTGTCTTACAGAAATCGGCCATGCTACAGAAAGCATTCAGCTTGCAGAGATTAGTTCTCTCACAAAAGTTTGTTGTCTTATAAAAGAGTCAGTGATCATAAAAAACTATCAGCCCACAAAAAAATAATCCTGATATGAAATTTATTTGTTGTACAGAAAGCATCTTGCAGATGCTTATTCTCTAATCGGTGTCTGATCTTTGGCAAATTTGTGAAGTAGCTTAAACGTATTTGAATCCTACTAAATTAATTATTGGGGATCTGTTTTAAGAACTAATCCCAAACAGTAAGCTGGAATAAGTTCTAAGTTGACACATATCCCTCACCAAATGTTGAAGGTTCCAATACTTACATGACTTTCTCAACAGATTGTTCTGGTCTGCACATAGTAAGTGACCCTCTTGATGCTTGCATCAATGACCTACAAGATATGACATTTGACAGTGAGTAACTGTTTTTTTTTTTTTTTTGTAACCTTTGTTATCGATTATAAAAGGAGCTAATTTGTTACCGCTGTTTGAGAAGCAAGTGTTTTGAAGTATGTACTGTACATCCTTATGAATTCAAAAGAAATTATAAAATATATTTGAATGGTGTATGCAATAGCTTGTTAATTCTTGATAGGTTAAGTTAGATAAGGTTTGTCAGGAAACAGGACAGTTGTTTCCTGATGTGGGTCTTAATCATATGATGAACCAAGTTGGAGTCTTGGAATCGGTCTGAGGCTCCCTCTAGCCTACTGGTTTCACCATGGAAGTGATCACTGCCTGATTTTTTGTATGGAATGTGTTTACACTGCAGTCTCACATATTTAACCTAGATGTCATTACTGTATTTGAGAGTCCAAGGTTATGAAATTCTTCCACTTTAGGTGAATTTTTTGCAGAGTCGCAAATCAGTCGCTTGATACCATGAATGACTCCTTACTCCGTTTTTTGAAGATACCTTATGCTGCAATAACTATGGTATATAACAAAGCTTATCACCAAGTCCACTGATATCCAAAATGAAATAAAAATTAGAGTTCTTTATTTCCCCCCAAAAATGGAAACTGCTCAGTGTGGTGAAGAGCCAGAGTTGGAGAGGTAGATTAGCAATACTTGTAAAAGAAACATTATAAGCTACAGAAATTTAAGTCCTAAACACATTAGTACAGGAGGTCCCTGTTTGTATGGCTCTTAGGTTCACGACCCTGTGTGATAGCGAAAATTGCCAGTGGATGGAAAAGAGCAGTTTTTTCATTATCAGATATGTCTAAAACACCTGATATATTAAGTGCTAAATACAGCTAGGCATAAAAAACAGATTAAGAAGTAAAATAAATACAAGGTACATATAATACTTGCCTTAAAATATGGTGCCGATCACCCTTTTGTTACTCAACTGTTGAGTGAAAACAGCAGAAAAGTGGTAAAACATCAAACATAATGAACAATGGCTCAGTTGAAAGCCAGTGAAAATGTGGAACACCTAAAAGAGGGTGCCAAATATGTGGGGCCCTCCTGTATGTGGCAAAAGCAAAGTACTGTATCATGTTTATGTGTTCATGTGTGCAAGCAAAAACTAATTAATCCATGTGTCATGTCATTTAACTTTTGGCTCTAGCGATGGGCTAGTAACCCCTTCTGTAGACATTTACTAAAAAAGAGAAGAAAAACTTTATGAAACTGGGATGCTTGAATGTGCGTGGATGTAGTGCGGATGACAAGAAACAGATGATTGCTGATGTTATGAATGAAAAGAAGTTGGATGTCCTGGCCCTAAGCGAAACAAAGCTGAAGGGGGTAGGGGAGTTTCGGTGAGGGGAAATAAATGGGATTAAATCTGGAGTATCTGAGAGAGTTAGAGCTAAGGAAGGGGTAGCAGTAATGTTGAAGGATCAGTTATGGAAGGAGAAAAGAGAATATGAATGTGTAAATTCAAGAATTATGTGATTAAAGTAAAGGTTGGATGCGAAAAGTGGGTCATAATAAGCGTGTATGCACCTGGAGAAGAGAGGAATGTCGAGGAGAGAGATTTTGGGAGATGTTAAGTGAATGTATAGGAACCTTTGAACCAAGTGAAAGAGTAATTGTGATAGGGGACCTGAATGCTAAAGTAGGAGAAACTTTTAGAGAGGGTGTGGTAGGTAAGTTTGGGGTGCCAGGTGTAAATGATAATGGGAGCCCTTTGATTGAACTTTGTATAGAAAGGGGTTTAGTTATAGGTAATACATATTTTAAGAAAAAGAGGATAAATAAGTATACAAGATATGATGTAGGGCGAAATGACAGTAGTTTGTTGGATTATGTATTGGTAGATAAAAGACTGTTGAGTAGACTTCAGGATGTACATGTTTATAGAGGGGCCACAGATATATCAGATCACTTTTTAGTTGTAGCTACACTGAGAGTACAAGGTAGATGGGATACAAAGAGAATAGAAGCATCAGTGAAGAGAGAGGTGAAGGTTTATAAACTAAAAGAGGAAGCAGTTTGGGTAAGATATAAACAACTATTGGAGGATAGATGGGCTAATGAGAGCATAGGCAATGGGGTCGAAGAGGTATGGGGTAGGTTTAAAAATGTAGTGTTAAAGTGTTCAGCAGAAGTTTGTGGTTACAGGAAAGTGGGTGCAGAAGGGAAGAGGAGCGATTGGTGGAATGATGATGTAAAGAGAGTAGTAAGGGAGAAAAAGTTAGCATATGAGAAGTTTTTACAAAGTAGAAGTGATGCAAGGAGGGAAGAGTATGTGGAGAAAAAGAGAGAGGTTAAGAGAGTGGTGAAGCAATGTAAAAAGAGAGCAAATGAGAGAGTGGGTGAGATGTTATCAACAAATTTTGTTGAAAATAAGAAAAAGTTTTGGAGTGAGATTAACAAGTTAAGGAAGCCTAGAGAACAAATGGATTTGTCAGTTAAAAATAGGAGAGGAGAGTTATTAAATGGAGAGTTAGAGGTATTGGGAAGATGGAGGGAATATTTTGAGGAATTGTTAAATGTTGATGAAGATAGGGAAGCTGTGATTTCGTGTATAGGGCAAGGAGGAATAACATCTTGTAGGAGTGAGGAAGAGCCAGTTGAGTGTGGGGGAAGTTCGTGAGGCAGTAGGTAAAATGAAAGGGGGTAAGGCAGCCGGGATTGATGGGATAAAGATAGAAATGTTAAAAGCAGGTGGGGATATAGTTTTGGAGTGGTTGGTGCAATTATTTAATAAATGTATGGAAGAGGGTAAGGTACCTAGGGATTGGCAGAGTTCCTTTGTATAAAGGCAAAGGGGACAAAAGAGAGTGCAAAAATTATAGGGGTATAAGTCTGTTGAGTATACCTGGTAAAGTGTATGGTAGAGTTATTATTGAAAGAATTAAGAGTAAGATGGAGAATAGAATAGCAGATGAACAAGGCGGCTTTAGGAAAGGTAGGGGGTGTGTGGACCAGGTGTTTACAGTGAAACATATAAGTGAACAGTATTTAGATAAGGCTAAAGAGGTTTTTGTGGCATTTATGGATTTGGAAAAGGCGTATGACAGGGTGGATAGGGGGGCAATGTGGCAGATGTTGCAGGTGTATGGTGTAGGAGGTAGGTTACCGAAAGCAGTGAAGTTTTTACAAGGATAGTGAGGCTCAAGTTAGAGTATGTAGGAAAGAGGGAGATTATTTCCCAGTAAAAGTAGGCCTTAGACAAGGATGTGTGATGTCACCGTGGTTGTTAATATATTTATAGATGGGGTTGTAAGAGAAGTAAATGCGAGGGTCTTGGCATGAGGCGTGGAGTTAAAAGATAAAGAATCACACATAAAGTGGGAGTTGTCACAGTTGCTCTTTGCTGATGACACTGTGCTCTTGGGAGATTCTGAAGAGAAGTTGCAGAGGTTGGTGGATGAATTTGGTAGGGTATGCAAAAGAAGAAAATTAAAAGTGAATACAGGAAAGAGTAAGGTTATGAGGATAACAAACAGATTAGGTGATGAAAGATTGGATATCAGATTGGGGGGAGAGAGTATGGAGGAGGTGAATGTATTCAGATATTTGGGAGTGGATGTATCAACGGATGGGTCTATGAAAGATGAGGTGAATCATAGAATTGATGAGGGGAAAAGGGTGAGCAGTGCACTTAGGAGTCTGTGGAGACTTTGCCTTGGAGGCAAAGAGGGGAATGTGTGAGAGTATAGTTTTACCAACGCTCTTATATGGATGTGAAGCATGGGTGATGAATGTTGCAGCGAGGAGAAGGCTGGAGGCAGTGGAGATGTCATGTCTGAGGGCAATGTGTGGTGTGAATATAATGCAGAGAATTCGTAGTTTGGAAGTTAGGAGGAGTTGTGGGATTACCAAAACTGTTGTCCAGAGGGCTGAGGAAGGGCTGTTGAGGTGGTTCGGACATACAGAGAGAATGGAGCGAAACAGAATGACTTCAGGAATGTATCAGTCTGCAGTGGAAGGAAGGCGGGGTAGGAGTCGGCCTAGGAAAGGTTGGAGGGAGGGGGTAAAGGTGGTTTTGTGCGTGAGGGGCTTGGACTTCCAGCAGGCATGCGTGAGCGTGTTTGATAGGAATGAATGGAGACAAATGCTTTTTAATACTTGACGTGCTGTTGGAGTGTGAGCAAAGTATTTGTGCTTGGGGATCAACTGCAGCAACACACCTAAAGCCAATAATAACCCAGCAAAGAGCTGCAGTAAGAATAATCACTAAATCCCATCCCTGGCAACACACCCCCCCACTCTTCATAGATCTGAACTTACTCCCTGTTCAGTACATCCACACTTAGTACTGTGCAGTCTACATCTACAGGACCTTAAATTCCAATATTAACCTTGACCTAAAACACTTTCTTGATAGGTGTGATAGAACCCACAGGCATAACACCAGACACAAACATCTCTATGGCATTCCCCGTGTCCAACTAAACCTTTACAAAAATTCAATGTATGTCAAAGGCTCTAAAATCTGGAACACCCTACCTGAAAACTCTACAACTGCAGACACATTCATCACCTTCAAAACTACCGTTAGAAAACATCATATCTCCCTGATACACCCCGTCAACTAGTTACACGAATACCACCTGGTGGTTCACACTTACACTCACCCATTTGACCATAAACAGAAATATCATTCTCAATCTTAAAATAATGAATCCTAACTAGTCATAAGTTGGCCTGTGATACTCCAATACTGAAACTATGTATGTATTGTGCCAAAACAAAAGCATTGACATTGCTAAACTCACAAACTAGTATTTAGTCACTTAGCCATATTACCAACTTACCTCATATTTTTGTAATATTTTAAAGTTAAGAATTAATCTAAGTCTGCCCGAAATGCCTAGCCATGCTAGGTGTTCTAGTGGCCCCCTCTGTAATTAGTATTTTATTACATGTAAACCACACAATAACCAAATTCTGTAAACTCAGCATTGTAATCCTTATAGAGAATAAACTTTGAATTGAATTGAATTGAATTAATAAAATAAAATAATTCATCTTTCAATTTTTCTACTCTAGGAAAGTCCAGCTGTAGCAGTAAATTTCCAGAATAATGTAGTACGAGCAGTTTTCAATATATTACTATCAGGCAAGATGACTCTGCGGTGTGCCTTCAAATCTAAGTATAGGCATCACAATCAATCCATGGTAGGTTTCTTATTTTACTTTATATAATATACCTGTATTAGTTTACCATTTTTATAGTTTTTTTTTTACCAGGCTTGCAATACTAATGTTGAAATCTAGCAGTGATAGTCATAACTGAATTGTACAACACAGAATACAGAGGAAGCAGTGTGTTAGTGACCTACAGCATTTGCGTTTTTTTTTTTTAAACTGTGAATCTCCGTGCACATGAGTCGACCCACACTGATCCAGGTCTTGTTTACCTGCACCACTGGACACCATTATTAACAATAATGTTTCACTCACACAAGGCTTTATAAAGCCCCTGTGTGGATGAAACATTATAAAGGTAGCCACTATTTAAGTGCCATTTACTCCACCTTGCCAAAATTTACATGCCACTCCAGTTCCTGTGCATGAAGTTTTATTCCAATTTTACATAGAAAGCCTCCTTAACCCAAAATGTCAACTGAGGATAATTCTCCACATATTCTTCATGCCTTTTGAATGATAGAGAAAAAAAGGGAGAGTTTGGGAGACAGTAGGATTTGTGGCAAGACTAAATTTAAGAGTGAGCCAAACAGGCTTTAACTAGAAACTGTAAAAGTGAATAAATTCTAAGTTGCTATCCACAACATAAAAATTAAGAAATTCATGGGCACTTGATTAGCAAGAAATGTTCAAGACAGGAGACTAGATGCATATGCAGGGGATTTACATTCAACAATTTTATAAAGGTGTGAAAATAAAATGTCATTATATGTATTTCTACAGTCATAAATCATCATTATTGAAAACTGTAGCAGAACAAGTAATGTTGTATGTTTATACTTTTAGGTTGTGCTGGAAACAACCAACATGCTGACGGTGATGGACTCAAGGGCTGTTGTTTTTGAGGTTGACAAAACTCGAGTAGAAACTGTTAATGAAAGTGTGGTAAGCAAATACTATATACAGTGTATAAATAACTTGGAAGATAAGCCTTTTATACATTAATTCATGAGCATTATTAACCCTTTCAGGGTTTCGGACGTACTAGTACGGCTTACGTACCAGAGTTTTTGACGTACTAGTATGCCTAAATTCTAGCGCCCTCAAATCTAGTGAGAGAAAGCTGGTAGGCCTACATATGAAAGAATGGGTCTATGTGGTCAGTGTGCGAAATATAAAAAAAATCTTGCAGGACACAGTGCATAATGAGAAAAAAAAACTTTGACCGAATTTGCACTGTATTTTCGTATGGTATTTATTGTTGTATTCTAGTTTTCCTGGTCTCATTGTATAGAATGGAAGACATATTACAGAAATTGAGATGATTTTGAGTGGTTTTACAATGAAAAGTACCTTGAAATTGAGCTCAAAGTAGCAGAAATGTTCGATTTTTACCGAAGTTCAAAAGTAAACAAATCATGCCAAGCGTCCAATACACATCAACTGGTGAGTCTAATATTCTTTTACAAGTGTGCCGATATTATTTATACCATTTCTACACTAATGCAGTAGTCTGCATGACAGTAAATATTCTATTTTTTGTGAGAATAAAAATTCAAAGTGGAAAGCAAAAGAATGTAAGAGGGGCGTGGGGACGTGACTAATGAACAGAGGAAATGTTATTTTAATGCCTGGAATGTCTTTCTTGTTTATTCTGGACCCTATTTGGAAATTGGCATCTTTTGAAATTTGTGTGAAATTGGCAAAATTGCTAAATTCTGACCACTGTATTGGTTGAAATTGGTAAATGGGTGGTTTCTTGTACTCATTCGATAGAAAAAATGGAGTTCTAGCGAAATAGTTATGATTTTTGTCAACTAGTACACTGGAATTGGCTGAAAATAGGGCTCAAAGTGGGCAAAATCGCCAATGTGTAAACATCGTCGAGACTGCTAACTTTGCGAGAGCATAATTTCGTAAGTTTTCCATCAAATTTCATACTTTTGGTGTCATTATGATCGGGAAAAGATTCTCTATATTTTCATAAGAAAAAATATATGTTTTTTTTTTTTGAAATTTGGGAGACCCTGAGAACAAGTCTGGGAGAGGGCCTGGGGACCCTGAAAGGGTTACTGAAGTAGCATAAGTCCTGCATTACACTAATTATTACTGTAAGATCAAGTAGTGGTGCAGTTTAGCAAGAACCCAGTTTTTACTTCCCGGTATTTTTACCAATGAGTAAAGATAGATAAGCACTTAGCATGAACTTTAGAAGTCACTGCACTTTAATTAAAATTGAAAATGAAATTGATAATAATTTTATTTCCAAATAGAGCTTACAAAAGTTACGAATGTGAATAGTTACCAGTACAGTACGTAGTTACAAAAATGATCCCAAATGGATGAACAATAGATTAAAACATCTCATTGATCAAAAGAGAGGCATATATAGGGATATCAAAAGAGGGGATGGGCAGTTAAGAAATCAGTATATTCAGTTAAAGAGAGAAATAAAGAAAGGAATAAGAAAAGCAAAAAGGGATTATGAGGCTAAGGTCACAAGGGATTCAAAGACTAACCCAAAAGGGTTCTTTCAGGTATACAGAAGTAAGATTAGGGACAAGATTGGCCCACTTAAGAGTAACTCTGGTCAGATCACTGACAGTGATAAGGATATGTGTGAAATTCTCAATACCTACTTCCTCTCAGTTTTCACCCAGGAAAATACTAGTGATATTCCTGAAATAATAGATTATGTAGGACAGGATGATAATAAACTATGCACGATTACGGTAACTAGTAACATAGTCCTCAGACAAATAGAGAAACTAAAACCAAACAAATCCCCAGGTCCTGATGAACTGTTTGCAAAGGTGTTAAAAGGGAAGGGTAAAGAGGAACTTAGCATACCTTTGGCTAATCTTTTTAACATATCACTACAAACTGGCCTAGTTCCTGATAAGTGGAAAATGGCAAATGTAATACCTATTTACAAGGCAGGTGACAGGTCCATGGCTTCGAACTACAGACCAATAAGCCTTACCTCCATAGTGGGAAAATTTATGGAATAAATAATTGCCGAAGCAATTCGTAGCCATCTTGATAGGTACAGATTGATTAATGAATCTCAACACGGTTTTACAAAGGGGCGTTCCTGTTTTACGAATTTACTAACTTTTTTCACTAAGGTGTTTGAGGAGGTAGATCATGGTAATGAATATGATATTGTAAGGCTTTCGATAGAGTTCCACACCAGAAGCTATTGAGGAAACTTAAGGCACATGAAATAGGAGGAGAAATTTTTTCCTGGGTAGAGGCATGGCCGACAAATAGGCAGCAGAGAGTTTACATAAATGGGGAGAAATCAGAATGGGGGCACATCACAAGCGGCGTTCCTCAGGGGTCAGTGTTGGGGCCTTTGTTGTTCACAATTTACATAAACGACATAGATGAGGGAATAAATAGAGACATAAGCAAATTTGCTGATTGTTGTGATAGAAACACAGGCCTTATCTCTAGGCTTTATTGAACATAGAATCTTCATAGTACTTCTGCAACAACAAAATATAATGACTAGTACATCTAATAATGGCTTCTACAGGGATGGTGATGTCTTGCATATGTCAAGAGAAAAGTTATAACTACAGGCCACATATTTAAACTCACCATGTAATCTGCATCGCTGATAAATGGATAAAGTAGGAGAGAATCACACACCATGTGTTGGTGCCCATGACACACACCAAACTGTTGTTGTTGTTAAGGGCCCCTAGAGGTGGTGCAGTATTATCCTGCTGCTGCTCCCCACAGGACCAGTATCACTACAATCTCCCCCTCCTAAAATATCAGAGACAGTAATCTCCCAAACTGTTAGGTGGGCAACGTACACGTCCCGACCTTCGAAAGCCCTTGAGCCTCTTCACCAGGTTCGATATTTTCCAGCAGGGTTTGATTAACTGCTGGAGCAGAAACCTCTATTCCATAGGGGTAGTCTCAAGGGCTTTCCAGGAGAAAACGAAGCTCTTTACATCTATTGGTGTATCTTGAGATTCCACACTAATAGGGATTTCAAAATGGGGCTAAATGTCTTTGTAGATACTGTAGTCTCTTCACCATTTTTTTGGTAGCGAATGTGGCGTAATGTGGATTAGCTTGCAGGAGCTCTACCTCTTCCACTAAAGGATCCATCTTGTTCATCCTACGGTGACTCTTCAGGAGAACGGGTCCAGTGACATAACCAAGTGGGCACGGAGGTCCCGTAGAGGAACGACGTGAATAGTTGAGGAGTCTTTCATGAGGGGTTGCATTAGTAGCTGTGCACAGCAGTGATCTAATAGAGTGAAGAGCATCAGGTAGAAAAGTTTGCCAGTGTTTAACAGGTAGATTGCGCGACTTTAATGTCATTGTAACTGCCTTCCATATATATCATTGAACCGGCTCCACTTGACCATTGCCTTGGGAGGGTTGTAGCTTGTCGTTCTCCAAAAAAATCCTGAAGTTCGTTTTCTCATGAACGAGGATCCCCTGTCTGAATGGATATAAGCCGGCATACCAAAAAATAGAGAACAACTGTGAAAGACAACTAATAAAGTTGAAGCAGCCATATTTGCACAGGGGAATACAAAGGGAAACCCCTTTAATATTCATCTACTATGTTAAGGAAATACCTATTTCTGATTTGTGCTTGGTAGAGGTCCTTTGAAATCTATATTCAATCTTTCGAAAGGCTGGGTGGATTTTATGAGATGAGTCTTCTCTGGCTGATGAAAGTTTGGCTTGCCCCTCTGCACATACTCTGCATGCTTTAATCACTTGTCGCACATCTTCCACTGAGTAGGGCATGTTCTTTGATTTGACAAAATGGTACAGGCGTGTAACTCCTGGGTGACACAAAGCCTTTTGGGAGAGCTGAGAGTGATTGCAAATATGACATGCTGCTCCACAGTGGGACCTAGAGAATGCATCAGGTGAGATGTTCTCTTGACCCGGTCGGTACAGAAAATCAAAGTCATAAAAACGATAGTTCCATCCTCCAGCGTAATATCTGTCATTCTTTATCCTACTTTGTGGGCCCCTGTCGAACATATACATCACGGACCGTTGGTCAGTCCTTATGGTGAAATGTCTACCAGTTAAAAAAATGCCTCCATTGGCGAACTGCTTCTATGATGGCCTGGGCTTCCTTTTCTACAGCAGCATAACATTTCCTGATCCTTGAAAAGTTCTCGAAAAGAAGGCTACTGGTCATCCTGCCTGAGATAAGACTGCAGCAATGGGCAATGTCAGATGCATCTGTTTCCACTTCGAATGGTAGGGACTCATCAATGGCTTGAATACTGAGTTTTCAATGTCCTGTTTGAGAGTATGGAAAGCGGCTTCTGCTTCCCTTTGTCACAGGAAATGTGGTAGCACTCAATGGGCGGACTTTACTTGAATAGTTGTAGAACCATTGTGAGTAATAAGCAAAGAGACCAAGAGTTCTTCGGAGTGACTTTTTGTCTTGAGGGATTGGAATTCCCGTAGAGGTGTAGTCGTTCAGGGTCTGGGAATATTGAACTCCTTCCACTACATAACCAAGGATGCTAAGCCTTTTAGTTGAAAAAGTGCACTTTTCCTCATTGTAACTGATATTTTTCTTTTTGGCGGCTTCCAAAAAAATTATCAGGTTTGCATCATGTTCCTCCTGGGTCTTGCCACAAATGGTAACATTATCTAAATACGCGTAGGGTTTCCCCTGATTTTCTCTTTCCCGAATGAGTGAATCCATGATTCGTTGGAAGCAGGCTACCCCATTGGTGACTCCAAAAGGGACTCTGGTAAACTGATACAGGCCATCACTAGCCTGAAACGCTGTGTATGGTTTATCTTCATTCCTTATAGGGACTTGATGATAGGCACTCTGCAGATCCATTGTGCTAAACACGTAGTACTGAGCAATTTTGTTCACTGTATCGTCAATTCGAGGTAGAGGGTACCCATCAAGAAGTGTAAATTTGTTGATTGTC